TCCTCAGCTTCATCATTATCAGCTCCTTAATCCTTCACCCTCATCTTCAACATACTCTGACGTTCATTACCGAGCAGCAGGCAGCATCCGCTACCTCCACTGACTGAGACACATGCCTTTGTGTGTCTGAATGCAATTACAATTTCATTTAAGATTTATACTGGATTTGTATTAAGGTGAGTGTTTTTACTTAAGACAAAAAAATTCTGTGCAACATGATGCATTCAGATTTTTACGTTCTCTCGACTATCGTCTTAAAATTGTCCAAAGTAACACTTCAAAGACAGTTCACCCAAAAAATGCACATTCTGTCATCATTTACTCACCCTCAAGTTGTTCCAAACCTATGAGTTTGTTTCTTCTGCTGAACATAAAAGAAAATATTTTGAAGATTGTTGGCAACCAATCATTTGACAGTAGCCATTGACTTCCATACATATTATTATTTATTTATTTATTTACCCACCCATACTATGGAAGTCAATGGCTACCATCAACTGTGCTCAAAAGAAGAAAGAAACTCATACAGGTTTGAAACACCTTGAGGGTGAGTCAATTATGACATAATTTGTATTTTCAGGTGAACTCTTTCATTAATTTTAATTGGTTTGTTTACTAAATGTAAAATTTAGTAAACAAATAACTTCATATTTCAACTACAATAACCAATAACTTAATTGAGTTAACTACAGATTTCTTGTTCAGCAAATATTCAGTTAGTAACACAATAAACTGATCTGTCATTTTAATAGTTATATATAGATATAGTTTTATAAGACACTTAATATGTGAAGTAAACTCTGCTATTTTTGTTTCTGATCACCTTACAAAGCAAAAATATCAGGGAAGGTTGTACATAGACCTCACCACTTGACACAAATCTCAAGAATGGTGACAAAAAGATGAGCTCTTAACATCACAACACAGCAAATAACTTACAAGTTTAAACAAAAGTCAGCAAACAGCGAAACAAAACTCCTATAACAGTAACAGCATAAATTCTTCATGCTGCAATGCATGCTGGGAACTCACAAACCTTTAACATTTCAGCAATCAATTTGATCAATTGAAAATATAAGTTGGGACAACATCGATAAATTCTGTTGGTTTGACATGGGTTTTATGTAGTTTCAAGAAATTCCCATTTCTTAGGTCCCTTAATGGCGGGTTCACACTGCACGATTTTAGCCCCAATTTTCACTCGCTGACAGTTTTATGGAAATCCCCGACAAATGCCCAAAATCAGAGGTTCATGTTAGTGACAGTCGCGTAGTGTATGTTATCAAAGACGCGATCTGAGAGAAGCGCCGATGTGTCACCGATGCCCGTGAGATATTTAGCATGCTAAATATCTGGATGTGTCGACGACACACAGTCCTGCAGTGTGAATGTGCCTTGACTGGAAATGACATCGGCGATGGCCTACAGCCAATGACAGAGCACAATACAGGGCAAGGGAACGTTTGGGGGGAGGAGTCATAATAGACCTGCAACAGAACATCAGCAAGCAATCATTCTCTCCATATTCTTCTTTGTTTGTTTGTTATTTTTCACGGCAAATCATTGTACAGACAACTTGGACTGCAAGTTTTTTGCAGGCTACCGTTTTTGACAGAATTAAATCCATTCTCACATGAGAATGCCTGTCTCTCGCATGATCTTATGTTATTTTCCATATCGATTCTCGCGTCTGTTTGGTTGTGAAACGTAGTTTGTAGACAAGGCAGAGTTGTTGGCGACAGTGTTAATTTCGTTGACGAATAATTTTCGTCATAATTTTCGTCAACGACATTTTTTTCGCCGATGGCAACAAGACGATAACGAACTAAAACTCTTTTTGAATGACAAAAACTATTCACGTAAACACAGTTGATTACGTCTTAAGTGAACGTAAACAGTAGGGAGAACGTGTATCAGTACACTGCATCCATTGCAGCCGTGCATTCAGTTTTAAAGGGATAGCAGTCTAATTTAGTTGCTATTGTCCCTAGTCATTGATGTTAATCAAGCAACAAAAGAAAGACAGAAAATCGGCATTTTAGTCAAAAGACTATGACTAAAACTAAATCAAAATTTGCTGTCAAAATTAACACTGGTTCTTCCAATTGAGAAGTTGTGTAATGTGTCACCCACCAATCCGTCATGTAGTGCACACACAACAGCAACTAGACATTACCCCAAACAGTTGTGCAGTGTGAGAAGAGCAGCGATCCGAAGACTTTGAAAATCGTGCAGTGTGAATCCAGCATAAACTGGAACATATGTAGTTACTTTTTTTTCTCTCTCTCAGTGAAGGACTCTCAGAACATGGTCCCAAGGTCACTTACAAAGACTCATTTCAATTGACAAAAATGATTGCCAAGATATCCTGTCTGCCATCTTCATGGTCAAGTTTATTAGCAGATTTGGAATATCAAAACTCAAACGACCAAACTGATCATCTGTCCAAACTTGATGAGAACTGAAGATCACACTTAGAATCTTAGAATCCTTTTCAAAAGATTTAAGGTTAAATCCCTCATTTGTTTTTAAAGACAAAAATAAATTGTGGTTACATACCCACACTGTAAAAAATGCTTGTATTCTTTTAGAAAAAAAAATGCAATTACATGCAGTTATGCTGTAAAATAGTGTCAAATGTATGATTTTTGCAGGTAGAAACTATGAATTATTGTATAATTTTTAGTGAAAAACATGTTTTCCCCTATATTTCCCATATTTATTTTCAGTAATGTTCATTAAAGTGTTTAATTACATATTGTGTTCTTAAGTGGATGTTTATTGCATTATTGTAGTGTCATGCGTGTTATCCTGATAATGTTTTGTCTTTGTGTTTATGACCCTGTGCACCATCATGTTTTATGGACAGACCATTTACAAAGAACTCTGATTCACCATGTGGTTTTCTAATGTGCCACCTGTATTATCATGATGGTTATCAGTGCAATTTAAGGTAAAAAAAAAATGGGTCCATTTTTAATAGTTCAAGTAGATCACTATATTATTATTATATTCCTGAAAGACATATATGGTTGTATGTAATATCAGAAATATTGTCACTGTATATTTTACAGTGAATTACTGACAATCACAGTTGTTGTTGTTTTTTTAACATATATTTTTTGACGTTTTTACCATTAATAATTAAATAATAATTAAAAACTACAACAATAATGATATGACATAAGACAAAACATGGTTTTTAATATAACTTGAAGATGCTTACAGGATTATAAAGAAAGAACAGCCACTAAGTGACTCAGGATAACGAACCAAACATTCAGTAAACGTGTGTCATATGTCACGGTCCACACTAAAGTGATGGCCGTCTAAAAATGCCCTTGCTATGCCACTTCAGTGCCAGCTCACAAACTGTCTTGCCATCTGGACACTTTAAAAGCAAATCTTTTTGTTATCTAATTCCAGCCTGTAGTCAAAGCCATCAGTTAGTTTGAATGCCATCTGGTTAATTTGTGGATAAAACACACGCAATTTTTGTATTCATTTTAATGAATCGCATAAAAGAGGTTTGCTCAAGGTGAATGAGAGGAAATCTGTCAGTAACTCTCATCAGATTATAATTATTACAGGTTATTCAACTGGATTTAATTGAGCATCTAAAACAAAATGAGAAATCTAACCAGCTTATTAAACTGGCCTCCATTAAGATAGCATTGTAATTATCAACAGAAACAATAAATGCATTCATGCATGTCTGTGATATTGTGATGGCTGCTCCTCTATTGCGAGAAGTTGTCTCCTAAGCTGAAGGGTAGATGGGTCATTTCCACTATGCAGTACACTTTCATGTCCACATAATATATAATCTTAACACATTCTGACCTAAATTATGTTCCAGGGACACCAAAATATGTTTTACTTACTGTAAATTTTGCCATAAATGCCAGTCAACAAAAAACAGTATATTTAAATATTTTAATAGCCATGTCCATCGCATTGGACAGTAAAAATGCTTGGCAAATAATTTCATGTTTTTTATTTATTTATTTATTTATTTTTTGTTTGTTTTTTAATTTAATGCAAAATATTGTAGGGGGAGACTGATACAGACAGAAATGTCAGAAATGTTACAACCATCCCCAGTCCCCCCATCCGGTGTAAAAATAAGTATTTTTTTGTAGTATTTTGAATATCACTGGCTATTAGAATGTGGTTAAAATAAATTAAAAAAAAGAAAGAAAAAATAAAATTGTAAAGATTCTGTCCTGTTTTCAGCAACACTTTCTTAAAATACAAAAAATGTAAAGTTACAGAGCTGAAAAGGTATTGCATAGGAATGAGCAGATGTTTGTGTTTGTGTGTGTGTGTGTGTTGAGGAGGACGGCATGCAGAATGAACTGAAGACTGGGCCACACAAACACATACAGACACACGGTCAACCAATGATTACGACCTCTTTTCATAAATGCCAGCTTGAAAAATAGCAAAGGTTTAAAGGACGAATGCAAGCACATGTGGCACTGAGGTTTAGAATTTTGTGCTTACTTTCTGGTGGGACTCTGTCTTTATGAGGGCATCCAGACAGGCTGCGATGATGCGGGTACAAACCCGTCACATGACCTGTGCCGTCACAACCAGGTGCTGGACACCGACTCTCTTTTTTCCCTGACCGTGAGGAATCTGAACACACACACAAACACAAAAAATAGGATTAATCACTGATTCATTTGTTTATAGATAAATATGCAAGTGATCTGATGAAGTTAGGTCCTCATTGCAGCTTATTCTGTCCAAGAACTGCCCACTACACAATAACGCTGACCGAAAGGCAAAGCAGCAAAGCAAAGTTATTTTTGCAACAACTGAGGATGAATAAACCTGAAATCACTGATACGATAACAAAAAACAAAACAAAAAAAAACTAAATATTTTTATCAGTGCAAATGTACAGTATTTAGTTTTGACCTTCCAAAAATACTAAACACGTTAAATTTTTGATCAGAATATATTTGAGGATTGTTTCCATGTGCCTCAAGATCTAATTCCATTCCAAAAATACTAAACACGTTAAATTTTTGATCAGAATATATTTGAGGATTGTTTCCTCAGTTGTTTCCATGTGCCTCAAGATCTAATTCCACGAACCTAGAAATGATTTGATCCTGATATTCCCAGGGCATTTGATACTTTGATACTTTAATATTTACTCAAAGAATCATTGCAAATGTAACAAACAATTCCAGTAAAATATACATATAAGTTCAAACTTTAATGTCTACTAAATTGAATTGATTACTAACATAGAATTTACTTTTAAAAAACTTTGCCTGAACTAACTTATTGAATGTAAAAATTACATTTGTTTTTTCCATAGTATTTACTTCACCACAGAATAATTGTTATCAGTTTAATCTGTGTTACAAACTTTATGAATATACACTACCGTTCAAAACTTGGCAGTATTATTAAAAAAAAACTATACCATTTTTTTTTTAATTCTTTTATTGATCAAGGATGCATTAAAATGATCAAAAGTGACAGTAAAGACATTCATAATGTTAAAATAAATGTATAGTTCAAATGAATGTTAATGTTTCTTGAGCAGCAGATCAGTATATTAGAATGATTTCTGAAGGATCATGTGACACTGAAGACTGGAGTAATGATGCTGAAAATTCAGCTGCGCATCATAGAAATAAATTACATTTTAAAATATATTACAATAGGAAACAGTTATTTTGAATTGCAATTTGAATGGTAGTGTAGTTGTGACCTTTTGTCCTTGTTAGTGTTAGTGTAGTTTGTACAGGCAGTGGCTGTCCTTAACCTGGATCTGTATATTCACTGCAGAGGGCATCTCTTCCAGATTGGCTATGTTTCAAACAGAGAGAGAGTGAGTGAGTGAGCGAGTGAGTATGCTACTGTTACCACTGATTAAAATTTTAAGGATGGAGTAACCTGGTAACGGGCATCATGTTGCCTCCTGTCTCAAAGTAAGCTCAAAACAGACAGGAATAGCATGAGATCACATGAAAGATGTGGGCTCATTCTTGGTGAGATTGAAAATAGAATGCAGAGCTACTCACATTTTTGTGCTTAAAATTGTATACAAAAATCCCCATGCAGCAAAATACTGAAGTGCACATCCACTGGACACTTTAAAAATCCACAAGGTCATGGGACAGGATTTATGAATGTCAGTAAAGCGACGCATATATAGATCATACTTTTTTTTAACGATCACAAAGCAATTAGTATTAGTAAGTTAGTAAGTATGCGATTTCGGACGCAACCTAAACATTGCAGATAATTGTTCACTGACTGCCGCAGCTGTAGATACTTTACAGTGCCTTACTATGTTAGTAAACACATCAAAATAAGTGTACTTTAAAGCATGAAAAAAAATATTAACACATAATTATGTAAAATGTCAAATTTAAAGTTAAAGTACTTTTAAGTACATTATTACAAAGTGCACTTTTTAACTTCTCTCTTTAAGTAAACTTAAATGCCCCTTTATTTAATTTATATTGTATTATGTGCAAGTACAGTTTAGTAGTATTTAAAAAAAAAAAAATTACTATTAAGATTTTAAGTACACAGCAAGTAGTACACTTCCAGATTCTAACCATCTAATAAAGCCTGAATCCTCTGACTATCTTGCAGCCATTTCAAAAAGAGAGAAAACAAACGAGAAGGAGAGAGCGCAGCTGAGCCGAGTGGAATACATATTAGAAAGTGCTGGATATTGATTGTGGCTCCGGACAAGCCATGCGTTGCATAGCAAATGGCCCCCATTACCATAGCGTCTGTGGATAATTAATGTGCAGTCAGTGGTCCTGTCGTTTGTTATCGGTCATACTGATACTGTTCAATTTCCATCTCCGCCTTGTGCCTTCTTTAAGGAAGAGCTCTTTCCATAACTGTCAGGCCTCCACACTTTTTATAAATCATAATGCCCCCTGGTTAGGCAGCGTCTGCCGTGACGAGATGTTATCGCGGTGTAATGGTTGAGCGTCCCTCATTATTCTGCCATTAGAGAGATAGTGTCCGACATGCATGCTGGCCAAACATCCTTTCATGCGTGCTGTCAGCCCTTCCTCATCTGGAGAACAGCGGATGAAAATGCTCATGGTTTTTTTCAAAGGGGTCCTATTATGCGTTTTCAATTTTTTCAACTTTAGTTAGTCTGTAATGTTGCTGTTTGAGCATAAAAAAGATCTGCAAAGTTACAAAGCTCAAAGTCCACTTCAAAAGGAGATATTTTATTTAACAGAAATCACTTTTCAAAAACTACAACGAACGACTCGTTTGGACTACAACGCATATTTTCCTGGATTTGTGATATCACAAATATCGACGAATGGGATGAGCCCTGGTTGAGCTGCACTAGAGAAGGCAACGAGTGTTATCACTGTGTCGGAGACACGCTAGCTTTCTCAAGGCAGACGAACTTAGAGTGGTTACAATCATCCGGGTTTAAATCGCGTTCAAATTTATTTGATTTTGACGCAATATTTACACTGAAGCTCGCAGGCGGCTATGGTAAGGGGTCATGACATTTCCCGACCAGGCGCCGAGTGCTGCCAATCACAACACACACTGGCCCAGCTAACCAATCACAGCACATTTCGTATTTCAGAAGGCGGGCCTTCATTTGATACAGGAACTATTCGAGCCGTTCATGCCAGACTGGGCAGAGAGGTGTTGTAATAATGTAAAATATGTGAAAAATAATGTGTTTTTCGAACAACCTAGTATGAGAGCCTGTTCTAGTACACCCCCAAAACAAAATCAAGAATCTTTTTCAAGGCTGGTCAAGACCTTAACTGCCAGGCTCTTAATTGCTGGTGCATTGTCTGACTTGTTTGTTAACATCATTACTGTGATTGGATGTAAAACTTCCTGCTTTATATGCAATAAGTAATTTATTTCATTTGTTACTGTTTTGCTGGGTCAGAAATTAAAGGTGCTGTTTGTCTTTTTTTTTTTTTTTTTGACTGTACTAAAGCATAAAAACACCAAAATATGTTTGCCAATATTTAGGAAACACGCAAAGTTCACAGACTTGTTTCTCTGAGAATCAATGCCACAGCCAGTTATTTTACTTTGAAATTTGTGTTCTGCGTCGGAATGTCTGTTTTTGTTTTGGTCTGTGTGACTCCACCCCCTGCCATTTTACCCAATAGTATTTCAACACCTAGGGTTGCCAGTTGGTGAAGAAAACAGCATATTGCAGCCATGGAGGCCAGCAAATGAACTGGGTCAGAGACTGCAGATTCTACCTGACATAAAAAGCCCTGGAATCCATTGAAAATGTTCTAGGAAAAACAACTCTCTCTGACTGCAGTACCTATTTCAAATGCTAGCTCTCAATGTTACATACTGTACCTTTAACAGGGGATTATGTCATATATGTCACCAAAAGCTGCTTTGAACAATTCTGTTGAATAAATTATTCTGTGACTCCCTCATTTATTGATTTGCCATGTGTTTTTATTTGTTTGCTTATAGAAACCAAAGGAAAGTTCCTACACATAAAATACACTCTGCAATGACGTTTTATTATTTTATCAAGACATTTCTCAGGCAGTAAATATGGATCTTTCAGCTTAATTTGAGAAGTGCTGTTCTAGTCTTGGTTTTGACTCAGTCTTAACCTGCCTTGGTCTTGTCTTTTGGTTTCAACCCTTCAAAGTCTTCGCCTGGTCTTGGTCTACCGGTTACTTATGTAACCTCGGTTTCCTGAGATAAGAGAATGAGCGTTGCGTTAATCACGCTATGGGGAAACTCCTCAAACAACAACACAAACACAATCCTACACAACGCTCCTTCCCTTATCTCAAGGAACCAAGGCTACCTAAGTAGATGGAGTGTTCCCTTTCCAACGGTCTGGCCCGTTGCGTTAATCACACTATGGGGAACACATCCAATCACTATAAGCAAGTGCAGAATGAAGCCGCTCTGCAAGCCCAGCCCCGGAACACCCATACTTAGGGCTCTCCTGTAAGTATGAGCTAATAATGAGACCCGACCGAGGACTACATAACATAACCTTCCCACTTACAAAAGGGGGTTAGGTAGATTAAGCGGACAAAATCCATGCCTGCAGGGCAAGGACATCCAAGTTATAACATCTGGTGAATGTAGATGGCCACACATATATCACCAATACAATTTCTGCTGGACCAAACCCAGGAGGAGGCCATCCCTCTGGTGGAGTGGGCTCTCACTCCCACTGAGGCGTAAGCCAGGGCTATAGCAGCCACTATCCAGCGAGTTAGTCTCTGCTTTGTGACCAGCAGCCCTTTAGAGCAGCCTCCGAAGCATACAAAGAGCTGCTCTGAGTGCCGAAATGGGCCAGAGCGCACAACATACACTTTGTCCAACAGCTCTTGCATAAAAGTTAGCACGTAGGACACATCACTAGAGAACGAGTCCTCATTCCGTGCTGCACACCAGTCAGAAAAGACAGACCATTTAAGAGCATAGAGACTTCTTGTAGACGGAGCTCTAAAAAATGTCTTCTGAGGCAAAGAGGTCCACCTCTGCCTTCACAAAGACCAGACCAGATCATTTGAACCATTTGGGGATGTAGTCTCCATTCTCCTGGAGCTAAATTTCCCCTGGACATCATGTCTGCTCCCTGGTTCAGTCTGTCCAGCACATGAACTGCTCTTAGTGAGAGGAGTTTGCCCTGTGCTCCCTGTTGGGATCAAGGAAGTAGCGGCTGAAAAAGCCCGACTTGCTGCTCGCTAGAGGAACCGCTTCTACGGCTCCCTTTGCAAGCAGTGTTTGCACTTCAGACCGGAGAATGTGAGTATCATTGTCCCGTACCAAAGTTTGAATAATACCTCTGAAGCAAGGCAGCCTGTGAGCAAACTGAGGTGGGTAACCTCGTTCTATGATGTTTAGAACCCAACTTGACACAAGCTTTCCAAGCCTGAAGCCAAATGGCAAGTGGTCTGAGTTTGTCGAGGGGCACTTCACCACACGGGGGCAGGGAACTGTCATTCATGGTAATGAGGAGAGGAGAAATGCACTTTTGAGTATGTGGGTCTGCTATCACAGCGGTAGTTTGTTTGGGCAGGTGCTGAATGGGGAGGACGAGCCCAACTTGAATGGAGCTTCTATCGCTCTGTGTTGAGTGGAGGGATGGAGAGCGGGTACAAGACTTCTTCGAGGAAGTTCTGGCCTCAACGAGAACTGACCCTCTCCTCTTCCTCTCTGCATTTGGAACAGGATTGTTTCTGAGGCTCAGGGTCCAAAATCACTCTGGGGCGGGGAACTTGACGCCTAGGAAACAAGTAGCGTTTTGCTGTCCTGGGGCGCTGCTGAAGCCCAGGCTCAGACTTAGGTTGGGGCTGAGGTGGCACCGGTTTGACAGGCTGCTGAGAAACTTGTAACAGCCGCCGCACTGGAGCACTTTGGCAGGAAGTGAAGCATTGCCTGCGATGACTTCTGTGCCACTGTAAACCAGTCGGCAAACCCTTCCACGGCAGGGCCAAACAGTCCTTTGGGAGAGACTGGCAAGTCTAGGAAGGCGACCTTGTCAGCATCCCTGATCTCGGTTAGAATCAGCCAAAGATGGCGCTCCAGCACCACCAAGTTGGCCATGGCCTTGCCAATCGCCTGCGCAGTGGCCTTAGTAGTGCTCAGAGCCAAGTCAGTTGCTTTGCGCAGCTCTTTGAAGAACTCTGGCCGGACTCGTCCATTAAGCGCTGAGCCAGCCACTGAATAAGCCCTGTTCGCTAGGACTGACGTGGTCCTGCAGGGCTTAGATGGGTGCGCTGCATAGGCTTTTAATCCCAGGGCCGATGGAGGGCACAGATGCTCAGCTTCCAGAGGGGGGAGCTTGCTGTAACCTCGTTCTTCAGCGCCATCAACAATGCTGAGAGCGGCAGAAGTGGAGGGATTAACATGCACCGAGTAGGGGGCACATCACATCCCGGTGAGTTCCTCGTGAACAGTCAGAAGGAATGGGGCAGGCCGCTGGCGGGAGGATTGTTGACGGCGCCCTTTCAGGAACCACTCATCAAGGAGGCCGTGGACAGCTCTTCCGGAGCCGAGCAAGCCAGGCCGAGATCCTCCACAGCCTTGGTTAAAACGTGGATCAGCTCACGGTCCATGCTGGGGCGTGTTGTTTGCGTCAGAGGAAGGGTGGCGGGGTCTTTGCGAGAACACGCCCACTCTTCTGCATCTGAAGCCGTCAACAACATAGAGTCATCCATGACAGCTTCCTCCTCCTATCCGCTGAAGGAAATCAAGCCACTTGCAGCTGACAAGGGGGCGCTGATCCTCACGTGTGAAGTACACTGGTGAATCAAGGCATTGAGGGGAGATTGAAGCATGCAGGACCTGAGCCGGCGTGATTTCACTCGAGCCCGGGGTTTGAGCCTGGCTACTCCGTTGTTTCTTCCTCCAATGTAAGGGGGGAAGTGGGAGAGCAGGCCGGGGAGGACCGCCTTCATGGAAGAAAGCGATCCGCGAGCGGAGAAGGGCGAGACTTATGTTCTCGCAGTGAGAACATTCCACCTCGGTGATCGCAGCCTCTGCGTGGGCGCTGCCCAGACAGACGACGCACTCACCATGCCCATCTGCATCGTGCAGGGAACCCCTGGGAGCCACACTCGTGGCATGACATTTGCAAAAACGCCACAGTGGAAATTTGCTCATAAAATATGTTCTTTTTAAAAGCCGGATGGTCACAGGGGAAGGCGTCAAGCTTCTTCCGCTGCCGGTGGCTTCTTCTCACGGCGGTGAGCTTATGTCCTCTCTTCTCTTCAGCTTCTTGCTTGCAGAGTCAGCGAGGAGATGATCTTCATCACTAAAGGCAGGGCTGTATCGCACCCGTGCTACAGTGGTAAATTTATTCATCGCACAGACCAGTTTTTCCGCAGCACGTGCGACATATATGTCGCACTTTACTGCCCTGAAAGGAGAACATTTTGACAAAATGGCAATTAGAGCTGACTTATATAGCAGTCAGCTCCACGCCTTTTAGCGAATTGAAACACCATTGGTTCGTGCAGATACATGAACGTGATCAAATCAGGCTTCAGTATCAGAGTAAACAGGAGTTTCCCCATAGTGTGATTAAAGCAACCGTTCGAAAGGGAACTACATATAGTGACCATCACTGTCACCATTTTGAATCAGTATTGTTATAATTAGTATAGTTATAATAAACTAAAACTAAAAAATGAAAATGGAAAACTCTAACAACATTATGTCCAGATTATTATTATTTTAATTAGTGCTGAAAAAAAAAGAAAAGAAAAAAAATGGTCCCACTTTATATTAGGTGTCTTTAAATACTATGTAGTTAATAATAAAGCAATTAATTATTAGGTAAGTGTACCTATTTTGTTCATGTTAAATTTCAAAACACTTTTGCTGCTATTGAGGTGGGATACGGGTAAGTTTAGGGACATGTTTGGTGGTATGGTTAGGTTTAAGGGGTAGAAGTAAGCTCAACAGTGTAATTATAGATGTAAGTACAGAAATTAATTATAGATGTAATTACAAGATGGTATTTTCAAATTTAAGTACAATGTAAAAACATGTATTTACACAATAAGTGCATTGTATCAAATTTTAAATTTAAATGTAAGTACATTGTGGTTAAAGACATGTAATATAAATTTGGTCCAATTTTATATTTTTTGAGAGCAAATGCAAAAATATAGATATATGTTGAATATTGTCCAAATTTGGAAAAATACGGAGCTATAAATTTGTGGCCTTAATGAAGCAGAATAATGAAGGCACGTTGTCCCCAAACTCGTAAGACAAATCATTTCAAGTGCTGGTTGTGTATTATGTAATATAAGATTACCTTTAAGGTAGTAGGGCTTCTTTAGACCATCGTGGTGCAGGCGCGCTTTCCGCTCCTCTGCATAGCTGTGCCGCAAACCATGCTCATGCAAATGCAGTCTGTCTCTCCTGACTGCTTCCGAAGCCATTTTTTCCTGCAAAGCTTTGGTCCTCTCTGTTTCCAGCGCTATGGCCTTCTCCAGCAGTGACAGGTTGCCTTTGGTCATGTCGAAAACATCCTCTGAGCGGTCCGAAGTGACGGAGGTGGTGTCTTCATCACAGTCCTGGAAGCCCTTGTGCTCTGTGGCGCAGCTGGAGAAAGTCTTGGAGCGTGGGCTGAGCTGCTCCTCAAGCTTCATCAGGTTGACCATGTCAGAGTAATTCCGCTCGAGGACATCAGGACTCTGATGCTGATGCTGCAGTTGGGCTTCTTGATAAAGCTGATGAGCCTCCTGGTAGGGATGCATATAATTAACTGATAAACCATTAACCGACAGTAAGATTTTTGAACGATTACTACTACTCTATCTGTTAAACAGTTAAAAAGTAACTATAGGCCACTTAAACACTGCAGCTAAATTTGGTTGTCAATTCAATGTTTAGTGCTGTAATCATGTTCTGAACATAAGTGGCAATAGAATTCTACAACCGAATTAGTGGTGCATTCCATTTGAACTCGAAAGTCAGAAACTCAGAGTTCCCAGTGGAAACAGGAACGTCTTCTCAAGTCAGAAACTCAGAGGAGCTGCAAAAACCCTGACCTCAGAATCCAATATGACGGCTCAGCACATCAACATGAGGGAAACACAAGTAATATATTGTTTATTAGCACTTCTGTTTGTCTCAATAAACCCAGCATAGTATTATCCAACCACTATTTGTGATAACATGATATTTCAATACGTCTGTGCAAAATACTGCTTTTTATGTGTTCGCAAAACGACTGGTATTGCTATCAATTGGACTCGTCCATCTTGTGTACTTGTGTATAGGAATGCAGTCAACTCTTGTGTGATGTCATTCCTAACTCCGATTTACGAATTCCGAGGTAAATGGAAAGCAGTATAACTCCTGAAAATTAAGGTAGTGGCATCCGCACTTACAAAAATTCCACACAATTTGTACCGATCCAAACTGACTAACTAGTAAATACTAGATGTATTTAAACATGCATCAGAGATGTGTCTCTGTTCTGTATGCGCATAGCAAAAAAAAAATAACAGAGAAAGAGGTATGAGCCTTGACTCATTAGTGTTGCCAGATCTTCTTACAAAATAAGAACAAACCCATAATAAACCTAAATAAATGTACATGCTTTATATTGGAAATAAGAGCAGAAAAGTGCAATCCACACCTGCCCAGTTTAATAAATCCATAGACTAGATCGCTTTATGAGCCATGCCCAAAGACACTTATAATAAGTGTACATGGCAACACTGAATGAAAGTACTCTGCGGTTTAATCGCAATTTTAGCCATCGCAATTTTGAGAGTGAGCTCTGTTCTGTACACACAAGAAATTATAATTTAGGGTACTCACTCCAGTATTTAAATGAGGCTGTCACTCCTGAAACTTTACAGTGTGTATATGGCCTTTATTTAAATTTAAACAGGACTGCAATTTACACACTGCAATTTACAGGACTGACAACCACATTCACTATTTAAGAAGTACAATCTTTACTCATTTGCACATTTTGACACAGGTCTCTCTCTTTCCATAGTTGTGCGCGCTCACTAGCCCACAGGGCCTAAATAGACTGTGTTGCCAGATGTTGCAAGGAAAAACACAAACAAAAACAAGCCTAAAATAAACCCTAAAAATTTTAAATGCATGAAATAAAATGAAAATATCACAAGCTGCAACTGCCCACATTAAAAACTCCATACAGTGGCTCACTTTAAGAGAAGAGTACGAACAGCAAGCCCAAAGACACTTATAGTAAGTGGACATGGCAACACTACAAGAGTGAACATAAACAAAACACAACACGCTCTGTCAATGGTGGTTTCGTTAAAATTGTTGGACGTAACAATTCTTTGGTTGCTAATATTACTCCGGTAAAAAAGCAGATACTAAACAGCCATCAGATGCCTAAACATTTCTCTGGTTACCAGTGTGACAATCATCATAGTTTCGCAGTCATGGAATGATCATTTAGGGGATTCACTCCTAGGCATTATTCCAATGCACATAGCACACTTGGTATAGCACAAATACATAGCACATAGCACAAATATACATTTCAATATTTTTCCTCGCAGTTATATAATTGGGTAATTATATTACATTCGCCATCGTCCTCAGTCATCTCTCCTTACTCTGTTTATGTGGTAAGTGAAATTTTATGTACTATAATGTAACAGGCAACCATTACACCATGTCTACACTGGACGCAACAGTTGTCGTGTCACGCCGCGCCGCATCAGCTAAAGTCTGTCTACACTGGACACGACAAAGTGAACGTTGAAAATCATTTGAAATTTGTGTCAGCACGTCATAAACAGAACGTGGCAGCAGTTTACTGTCGGGGATTTGTCGTGTCACGCCGCACCGCATCCAGTGTAGACAGCATCACTGATTATAATGAGTTCTATAGACTGATCTATATATAATAAATCTCTATTATAGATCAGTGGTTCTATAGTATTTTGTCGCGCCGCGCCACTCGCGCCCGGTGTAGACACGGTGTTAGGAATCTTGTTTTCCCTTATAAGGATTCACGCTTCGGTGCTTCAGCGCTGCAGTTGCGTGATGACGTGACCATGTGTGCATCCTCATTTTCTGTTAATGATACTATTTGCACATGTAAAATTTATATGAAGAGAAAAAAAACATTTAATGGTATCTATAATGGGTCACAGAAAACCGTTCATTCTCTAATTTAATTCTGATTTAACGTTCTTGTCAGTTAATTGGCAGTTCCCAACTAACAAAAAATGCTCTGAGAATGTTTTGATGACGTTTGCATTTAGTTCTCTGAACATTTTTGTTGTTGTAAATGTTTAAAAAAACTTTTTTTTTTCTTTTTTATTCAAACTTTAACAAAAACATTAAGGGAACGTTTCATTTTAACATTTTGCAAACATTATGGGAACATTACTTTTGAATGTTCTCTGAGCATGGTAAAGTAGTTGGTAGTTAGAACATCTAAATAAAAACGTTTCAGAAAAAAAAATGTCGCTTGAATGATACATAAAGAACATCGTTGGAACTTTATGAAAGACCAGATAACTTTGAATGAACGTTCTATTAATGTTATTGACAGAACGTATGTTCATAACTTTGTGAGAACCTTGCCATAACATTCACCAAAGCTCTGAGAACATTCCTTTTTAGCTGGGTTAACGTGCATTGGCTATCGGTCAAGAAAAAGAAAAAAAAACTCAAAACAAATCCCTACCTGCTGGTTATTGTGGAACCGCTCGGTTGGCTTGGTCTCACTTAGCTTGCGCGCCAAGTCAAAGCACTGGTTGCGAAGACACTCCAAACTACTCAGACAAACTTCCTCGTCACTCTTCTCTGCCATTTGGCCATTACTGGAGGGTTTACCACAGTTACCACTGAGTCCATTACCTGTGGATCCATTTCCGTTGATGTTTCCACAGTCCGTGTTCTCGCTCCCATCGTCCTGAAAAGGCTTTTCGTGGAGGTTTTCTGAGAGCGTGACTCCATGACCCTGTGCCAGGAGCTTTAGAGAGTCCACAGTCTCCCTTACCACATCACTGTTGATGTCTAGACTCAGCTCACCTTTCCTTGAGCCCTCCTCATCCTCATCTTCTTCATCCTCTTCATCTTCTTCTTCCTCCTCCTCTTCCTCTTCTGCGCTGTTTGAGGAGTTGCTGTTCATCTCGGACTCAGTCATGGCCCGGTAAGCGGCGTCCTCTGCAATCTTGCCAAGGTTAAGCAGAGATTTGGCCACCAGTTCATCGTAGTTGTCATATTCATCGTTGTTGTTGTTGTCCTTCTCCATGGAGGGGCTTGTTCTGCTGGGACTGCAATTCATATTGTCACTCTCTGTGAATGACAAACAAATTTTGCAGCTAAATAGATACATCTTGGTTCAATTGCGTTGTCCAAAACAAAGTTTCATTCCACACCCAACCACTTGTTTGACTCTGAACCACATTTGCATCATGGCCATAACCACTTCAAGGCTCCAATATACAAATTTTCCATTGTTTCTACTATAAAGCGGGTGTCCAGTGAGTTCATGTGTTTATGAACATCTGACCTCAACAAACTGAACAGAGGAAATTAATCAGAGAAGATTTCCACATCAAAGAGGGCGGAGCCCCAGAGGCACACCTACCTTTTGCATCATCACAACAGACCAATGGGGTTCAAAGGTGTTTACCAGCCAGCAAACTTTTCCAAACATTTTGCTTTGGCAAGATGCTTTAAACTCCTAAAGCGAGCTCCAAACAAACGTAGTTTTGGCCTGATTTTATTCAAAATAACATCACACCTGTTCACACCACACATTCTTTGATTTCGTTTAAAGTATATCTTTAGACATTAGACATTATTTCCCTAAATAATTAGAAATGGCCAATTGGCCCTCACGATATTTTATATTCTTGATGCTGCTCTGTTTGTTGTTAGGATGGCAAAAAGTTAGATTTTTTGGTTGTTCACTTGTCAATGTCAAACTATTTGAGACGGCCAATCAAATAAAGGTGGGTTTACTGTTCATAGAAGTCAGCACAATGCTTCAGTTTTAACAGTAAAAGAGTATAAGTAGTACGACAAAAGTAGCTAAACAATTAATATTTGACAACTGTTTAACTATAGAAATGTTAAACTAATATAGGGATGCAAACTATTTTGACATTTGTTTGTCAAATTTGTCAAATATAGGCTAAATCATTTACTCAATGAATATAATTTATGACGGAATGTGACAAGACAACAAACATTTTGCCATTTTGTGTTTTTGACATATTAGACATTCAAATAAGAGTGTGTGCAGTTACTATTTGTAAATAGTTCAAACCGATTATTTTACAAGCGGGTCATAGAGGAGAAACAATAATGTACAGTATGTGAAAATTATGTGTTTTTTTAACCTTAAACCGCATAAACACATTTCATTACACCAAATACATAAAATAATGTTCTTATTAGCAACATCATATGACCCCTTTAAAGTCCACCAACGTAAATCTACTCTCCTGTCTGGTTTGTTTGTCGGACAAAATGGCAGATTCTGCGTTGAGATTGGCCAGATCTCCTGTCAATCAAACTCCCGGCGAAGGGTCAATTTCACAAAAACTGGCAATGGGTTCAGTGAACATACACCAAAAATATGTGCCGCTTTCACATCTCTTGTGAAAATTGCCCCAGAGGACTTCAGTATAAAACCTTTGAAAGTTGGCTAGAAGATCAGGAGTTACTTTTAAATCAAGAAAACTAAAACTGTATGAACACTCAGAAGAACAACGGGTCGATAATAAAGAAAGAGCTGCATAGAACTTAAAATAGAGACATGTTAGCTAAAAAAAAAAATATATATATATTAAATATTTTGTTGACAGAGCAAAAACTTATGAATATCAGCCTGCCTGTGATTATCTGTGCCATTATGTCCAATCACAACCATGCTGATTTTCCTAACAACGAAATCTAATTATTTTCACAATATTTAAGTGTGCTAATGTCATTAGCTTAGTTTCATGCTAGCAATAGAATGTTAGTCAAGTGCAAACTGTGCAGTGCTTGACTTGCTGTCAGTGAAGCTGTGCCTGTGAAGAGCGAAATCAGTTACTTATAAGGTTCTAATTTAATTAACGCCATCGACAACTGTTCATGCAGTCAGCTCACTAGGTTTTGAGACAAAGCCAATATCTTAGGTAAGAAAACACAGCACAGAAAACAGGGTTAATGCCAATGCATGTGGGAGTTTGATTGTTAATTAGACTAGAAGGCTCTGTCAGGTCTGACTGGAGAGCGCTGCCCTGCCATATGTGGCTGGCTGAGCTGTCTGAAGTGGATAAGACATGTCTGAGACACATCTCACGCCTACTCCCTGATTTAGCAGACATCCACAGACCACCAGAACCGACCCACCAAAACCGAAACAATCGGTTCCTCAAGGTCCCTGTGTCCCAGACCAGCCTTTTCGGCGACACAGTTGAGAACATGGCCCAGCAGTTCTCGGCTTCACAGGAGCAGACTGAGGCGATCTGACGTTCTGCTGCCTCCACCCATCCGCTGGCCACAGCGATGCAGCCTGCTCGTCGCTGAGGGCGGCCCCCTGCATCCACCCCCGCTCCCGTGCCACATCTGCAGCAGCCTCAAGCAAGCGGCGCCGTGGAGCTGGGCGTAGGCAGGCCGCCCTGCCCGTCCAGGCCGCCGTCAACCTGGTGGTGAGCAGAAGAGCAAGAGGCCTCGGGACGGGCAACCCAGAGAGAGAGGGAACTGCTCTTTGGGGGATGGTGAATGCACCTCTCCCTCCCCCGGAGAAAGGTCGGGTGGAGAATCTGGTTTCCAAAAATCTCGACAGGAGAGCAGTTTTCTCTGTCTCTGGGTCCCAAGAGGGCATGGAGATTTGCAGACGGACCAACACCGGACCACACTACCACCTCGCTTCCCCATCGCGGGTACATTGGTGGTCCCGCTGGTCCAGTTTGTGTGGTGTCTGGGTGCCTGGCTACCCAAACCGCCTCGTTGGCTACTGTGGACCTTCAGACTCGGCTATGCGATTCAGTTCGCCCGGCGTCCCCCCAAGTTCACTACCTTGACGACTGACTCGTACTAGCTCAGTCTCAGAATCAGTTGTGTGCACACAGGGACTTGGTGCTTTCGCATCTCAGCCAGTTGGGCCTTTGGGTCAACGGGGAAAAGAGCAAACTTTCCTTGGCGCAGAGGATCTCTTTTCTCGGTATGGAGTTGGATTCGGTCGAGCATGCCTCATGCAAGGATGCGCTCAGTCGGTGTTGAACTGGCTGAATATGTTCTGCCATCTCTGGCTGTGTCTGGTTGATATGAGGGACGCCGACAAAGTTCGGTTCCTTAATGCCCCTGTGTCTCTGTGAGCCTTCTCGCACAGACCATGTGCAAGGTCAGGGAGGACGAGGAGCAGGTCCTGCTTGTGGCGCCGTATTGGCCCACTCGGGCCTGGTTCCCCGAACTAATGCTCCTCGCGACAGCTCCTCCCTGACAGATTCCTCTGAGGAAGGATTTACTGACTCAGAGACGAGGCACCCTGTGGCACCCACGTCCAGACCTCTGGAAACGTCATGTCTGGTCCCTGGATGGGACGCGGAGGTTCTAGGTGACCTACCCCAAGAGGTAGTTGACACCATCACTTCGGCGAGAGCACCATCTACGAGACACGCTTACGCCTTAAAGTGGAACCTGTTCGTCGAACGGTGCACTTCTCAACGGGAAGACCCCCGGAAATGTCCGATCAGAGTTGTGCTGTCCTTTCTGCAGCAGGGTTTGGCGCGAAGGCTGTCTCTCTCCACCCTTAAAGTCTATGTGGCTGCGATTGCTGCCAACCACGACCCCATGGAAGGAAAGTCGGTGGGGAAGCATGGCCTGATCATCAGGTTCCTTAGGGGGGTGAGAAGGCTAAATCCTCCACGGCCCCCATCTATACCCTCTTGGGACCTGTCTCTAGTGCCCAATCAGGGTCGTGCTTTCCTTTTTGCAGCAAGGGTTGGAGCGAAGGATGTCTCCCTCCACCCTTAAAGTCTATGTCGCTGCGATTGCTGCTAATTATGACCCTGTGGAAGGGAAGTCGGCAGAGAAGCATGACCTGGTCATCAGGTTCCTTAGGGGGGCGAGAAGGTTAAATCCTTCCCGGCCCCCATCTATACCCTCTTGGGACCTGTCTGTAGTGCTCGAAGCACTACAGCAGGGCCCGTTTAAGCCTTTGCAATCAGTTGAGCTGAAGTTTCTATCAATGAAAACTCTTCTCCTGCTTGCATTGGCCTCCATCAAGAGGGTAGGGGACCTGCACGCATTTTTGCACACATACTGCCAGGTAATCCTGAGGCCTCGGCCCAGCTATGTGCTCAAGGTTCCCACTACTCCCTTCAAGGATCAGGTGGTGAGCCTGCAAGCGCTGCCCCTGGAGGAGGCAGACCCAGCCCTAGCTTTGCTTTGTCCCATCCGAGCATTGAGATGCTACGTCGACAGGAAGCAAAGCTTCAAGACCTCAGACTAGCTCTTTGTCTGTCATGGAGGCCGGCAGAAGGGGAATGCCGTCGCTAAGCAGAGAATGGCCCACTGGATAGTGGGTGCCATCACCCTGGCTTATCAGGCACAGGGTGTGCCTTGCCCATTCAGGTTGTGAGCTCATTCTACTAGAAGTGTTACATCCTACTGGGCGCTGGCTCGTGGTGCCTCGCTGGCAGATATTTGTAGAGCTGCAGGCTGGGCGACCCCCAACACGTTCGCTAGATTCTATAGCCTTCGTGTGAAGCAGGTATCCTCCTGTGTTCTCACCTCAAAAGGGTAGAGGCACTGAGTGGCCCCGGTTTAGTGTCGGCTTGCTGAAACCACTCCAGAGTGTCCATACTGTAGACCCTGTCGAGCTTCTCCATCCCCTCGGCAGCCAAACGGGG